TTCTTGGGAGGAAAGCGATGACAAACCTCGACAGCATCTTAAAAAGCAGATACATCACCTTGCTGACAAAGGTCAGCATAGTCAAAGTTATGTTTTTTCCAGTATTGATGTATGGAAGTGAGAGCTGGACCATAAAGAAAGCTGACCACTGAAGAATTGATACTTTTGAATTGTGGTGCTGGAGGAGACTCTTGAGAGTCCCCTGGATTGCAAAGAGAACAAACCTAGCCATTTTGAAGGAAATCAACCGTGAGTGCTCACTGGAAGGACAGATCCTGAAGCTGAGGCTCCAATACTTTGGCTATCTCATGAGAAGAGAGGACTCCCTGGAAAAAACCTTGATGTTGGGAAAGTGTGAAGGCAAGAGGAGAAGGGCATGACAGAGGAGGAGATGGTTGGACAGTGTCATCAAAGCTACCAACATGAATTTGACAAAACTCCAGGTGGCAGTGGAAGACAGGAGGGCCTGGCGTGCTCTGGTCTGTGGGGTCACAAAGAGTCAGACATGACTTAACGAGTAAACAACAACAAGGTCCTTCTTCATGAAGATTGCTGTGTGTTGACTTGAAATCAGTGGCAGCTGGTGATTCCAGTTCCAAAGGTGCTGAGAATCCCTTGCAAAGTTTAAGTTAGCCCTTTAAAGGAGTTATCGTAGGGGCTGAACACTATCTCTAAAAGAGGTTCAGCGTTGTAGATAATTCCTGCAAAGTTCAAACTAAAACCCAGGGAAGATTCGCAACGCCCCAAAAACTGCCACTGCTTGAAATTAATTAAATCCACACGTTAAACTGCAGTCTTTCTTAGACCGGCTAAGATCCAAAATAAAGCTTTTCTTACTATTAGCTACTGTCAAATAAGAATGGAGTCTGACTCACTGCCTCTATAGAGGTGCCGCCAGCTTTCAAGTACAGTTTCATTCTGGCCTCTTTGCCAAATATTCATCCCAGAAAATACTGGCTTATCGGGAAAGCTGCAACCATCAAAGTGAAAACATATGAGCCTCATAGATCACTGGCCCTCCCCCCAGTCCTAGCTCAGCTTTCACACTGCAAGCTTTTACTGTATTTTAAATGAAAAGTCCTTGTGATTAAGGCTGTAGAAGCCTTCTGTAATCACTTTTTTTCTGTTGGATTTATTTAGCCTAGACATGTTCCTTTTGTAGGAAGTAATAAACTTTCTCCCTCCCTTTTTCCCTCTGCTAGAGAGAAGGAAAAGGAGATTGGTTAATGCTGCCAGGTCAACATTTCAGAAGAGAAAATCCCTCCAGAATTGGTAGTGGTTATTCTGAGGAGATTTGTGAAGGTGGCCATAGTGATTCCAGCTTGGAAAAGTTTTTGTTGCTGTTGTTGTTATTGCCATATAATTCTCAGAATCCCATAGCCGGCATGGCTATTGGTCATGGTGACTAGGGGATACTGAGAATTCATAGTCCAATATGGTAAATTTCTCAAGTTTTAGGTATAGGTGTGTTAGTTTCTCCTTGATAAACCAAAACTCCAATGCTTGTCAACGCCTATTAAATAAATCCTTTCTTTAATTTAAGTCCTCAAGGGATAATTTTCATTTGTACAATGACTATCATTTAACATGGGCAGTCAATGCTGGACAATTTGTTGAAGTCCGCATTCTCTCAGGAGTAGTCATTATAGGCCACATCCAAGTGGTAGGGCAGAAACCACCCTGAGAAACAAGCAAGCCCACCCCTTTTCTTTGTTGTTGTCACCTCATATTCCCCTCTCCTCTCATCCTCCCTATCTAGAGGAAAGATCAAACTCATTCTTGCCCTAGATCAGTGGGTTCCCAACCTGAGGTAACCCAGGTGTTCCTGGACTGCAACTCCCAGAATCCTTCACCACTAGCTGTGCTGGCTAGGATTTCTGGGAGCTGCAGTCCAAGAACAGCTGGGAACCACTGCCCTAGACAAAATGTTCTTGCTGCCACATCTTAAATATATGGAAAGACAATCCATACATTCAGCTCCAAGTCTTTCGGAATCATCCTAGAGAGACTATGGACCACCTAAAGCAATTACTAAATACTGTTTCGATTGAAAATGTCTTGCTGTTGTGGCGGTGGACATGGAAAGATGCCCCTTCACAAAGGTTATTTCTCTTGTGTAGGAAACATAAAGCCGGTCAGTGCCCAAGTTGCAGTTATGGCACCTGTTATGATATTTCCAAGACCATCATGTCAAAATCTACCCTTTGCATGAAAGCTAACTCACATTTGATTTCACCATAAACCAAATGGTTTTGTTAGTTGCCCCGGGATATGGGATTGAAACAGCGGGATTTATCTCTCTTCAATCAGTCTTAGAATATTTTTTTTAATTGAAACAGAACACAAATACAATGAGCCCTGCTCTAAGCTGGATTTCACCCCCTAATGAGACACAGAGATGTAGACGCAGGAAAATACCACCACTCCACCCCTGCAATCTGCTAGAATTTTGGTGTGGATAATTTCATCTTTGTTTAGTGGAGTGCATGGTTAATACCAGGCTGCTCTCCATCTGCACAAGTATACCCTGATTTGTTTCTATCAGCTTTAAGGCTCGTCATTCAGAATTCTTTTCCCTGTAAAAGACAAAACTATGCAGTGGATTAGTTCCAGACTTAGTAGAGTCTGACTGTATGATTGCTGCATGTAATATAGGATACCTCCTGAAATCAAGATGATCTGTTAGCCAGTGGTCTATCTATCCTGGTATGCCTGGACCCACCACTCTGTATTTTAGGAAACAGTGCTGTCTTCAGACCTAATTTGGTATTTTGTGGGAAGAGGTTATGACTGCCTTGCTATGGGTGAGAGCTTCAGGTATGACCTCTCAACAGAATAAGATACTGCCCAGTGGAAAGTGCAGTGGATGAGGCAGAGCAGAAGGGACATCCATAGCTTATCCTCAGAGGTGGTTCAAGGGATCCATCTCTCCTTCTCCTTCTCAGCCTGCAGGAACCAGTCCCAAGACATGCTTCATTCATTCTTCACAGGAGAGTATGGAATCAAGGGGTAGAAGAAGGCACAGCAGTTGATGTGTGGGATTTAGAATTGGAATTTCATGTTCAAGTACCTGCTGAAGTACCCTAACCCCAACCTGGCAGAAGGGAAGCATGAGGAGAAATAAGGGTCTGCCCCACCTCATGCTCAGCCAGCCTATTCCTGCCTACTTCAGTACTGGAGATGGAAGGTTGGGAGCCCACTTGCATTCTGTTTGAGTGATTGTCTCACTCACTCACTCACTCACTCACTCACTCACTCACTCACTCACTCACACACACACACACACACACACACACACACACACACACACAGAGTATGTGTGTGTCTGTGTGTGCTGGAAGGAGAAGAAAGAAAGAAATAGCTGCCAGTGGGAGCTTTTCTGTTCCAATAGAAAGTTTTCAGCTCTTCACCTGTGCCTTTAAGTAAATGAACAGTATGTGCACAAAGCAGTACCTCGGTGTGTGCCTCTCTTTGTGTGTATATAGTAGTAGGCATCCATCAGTCTCCAGAGACTATGGCAACGTGCTCTGAACAGAGGTCTTGGAACAGCACCTAGTGTGGCTGAAAAGGCCAATTTGAGAGTGACCATCCCTTCCACCCTGAAGACAAATACAGTCTGTCCCCTGTCCAGCTCCCTGATTTTGCTGCTTTCGTAACTGCCTCTTTGCCTCGGCCTGCTGGACAAGGGTCTCTTCAAATTGGGAGAGGCCATGATGCACCGCCTGCTGCCAGGCTGAACGTTCAGATGTCAGGGTTTCCCATCTGTTGAGGTCCATTCCTATGACCTTCAGATCCCGCTTGCATATATCCTTGTATCGCAGCTGTGGTCTCCCTCTGGGGTGATTTCCCTGCACTAATTCTCCATACAGGAGATCTTTTGGAATCGAACCATCTCCAAGGGAAGCCACAAGCTTGCGTTCACAATAGCTGAACAGTGCTGCTGAGGACAGGGCATTGTGAAGATCACTCACTCGTGACGTTCTCATAAATTGGAGGTGGCCTGACGCACATAACAACAACAGCTACCATAGATGTGCAGAACAGGAAGGGTAGCTGTAGTAACAGGTTGTTGCTGACTGAGAATTGAAGCCTCAGGTTGGAGAGGACAGTTTTTGGATCACCTCATGGCATTCAGCAGATCCCCCGGACAAGTTAGGATGGCGAGTGCAATCATAAACGCATGGTGGAGATTGAAGGTCCGCCTGAATCCCTTGGTCGTCCGAGTAATTTGCTTCCAAGGAGGGAAAGCGGAACACGAGCGAACAAAAAAAAAGTTGCCGTACTTCCAACATTTGAGTCGCAAAGGATGCTGAGCCCAAAGCAAGATTTCGCTCAAAACCACCCAGAAACTTTAAGGCACCACAAGCCTCTTTGGTGACTGTGCTCGCTTTACCCCTCCGGAAAAGGTTTTGATCGGAGCTCTTCCCGCTCCCTTCGGCGTCTTGTCATTCTGTTTACTCGGGAGTAAGTTCTACGCTGCCGGGGGGGGG